CCAAAGATCCAGACAATTCCCAAAGGGCTCACCTACTTCTTCTTGCAACTCTACAGCAGACTGAGCTTGAAGAGAAAAAAAAAATTGCAGGAACGATAATGGAGGGGAAGACAGGCTGAGTTGAAAAGGACGCTGCCTGAACACGCCTGAGGTCATCAGGTAAAAAGGTCATAGTTCAGCAGCTTTGAGGATGAGTCGTGAAAGTCCGTTTTTCTAACCCCTCCGACACGTTTTTTTTGAACATACATCTAACTGGTTGAACCTGCAAAATGTACCCAAACTATACAAATGCAATATAGTTTTTTGTGCCTTTGTTTCGAAAAAGGTGGTGTGGGGGGGGGGGGGTTGCTGCTGTTGATAAAACAAAGAAGCGTGCACGTGTGTGCGTTTGTGTCAGTAGATGAAAAACCTGTTTATGAGGAGCCTGCAAATAGATTTGACTGACGGGGAGAGAATTTGGCCGGAGTCCAAAGCAAATAGTCCCCCGATGATGAGGTGCAACATGCGCTTTTACACTGCTGGCCTGGTTTGTGGACCACTTGGCAGGGATGTGAAACCACTGGAACTAAGTGCTCCCGCTCTTGCGTAACCCTTCCCAGTCATGCTGCATCCGCATACCAAAGCTTCCCAATTCATGATCAAGTCCATGTGCAAAACACTTTGCAGACTTGTGATCTACTGACCTATTTAGCCACTCATTAATCCCACATAGCTACTTTACTAACTGCTTACATAATCCCTGAGAATGAAACCAAACAGCAATATAGCCCCACTCTCCTTCATGTTTTGCAGTTGGTACACTCTGAGTGACACGGTGAGATTTTGTGTTTTTTTTTTTTGTTTGGTTTCCGTTGCAGTATGTTGAGAGATGGGTTTGTTTGAGGTAAAAGTCAATATGAGTCAACAAAACAGAATGTTGTCCGTCCCGAAGTCTGCTAGCATCGTTGCTCAATGTGATGTCACTCACACAGCTCCTCAGCAATATTTCACTGTCATCTCCGGAGTCTCAAAAATGTCGTATGAGACATAGAAGGCTTGCGCTAGCTTGTTACGTCACTTGCAATTCATTCTTTTGGGCACGTTGTCCAGACATGACGAAACGGTAAAATTTTTCGACATGTTTTAACCATAACTTTTTATTTTAAGTATATGCTGAACAGTGTGCGTTTGTGTCAGTAGATGAAAAACCTGTTTATGAGGAGCCTGCAAATAGATTTGACTGACGGGGAGAGAATTTGGCCGGAGTCCAAAGCAAATAGTCCCCCGATGATGAGGTGCAACATGCGCTTTTACACTGCTGGCCTGGTTTGTGGACCACTTGGCAGGGATGTGAAACCACTGGAACTAAGTGCTCCCGCTCTTGCGTAACCCTTCCCAGTCATGCTGCATCCGCATACCAAAGCTTCCCAATTCATGATCAAGTCCATGTGCAAAACACTTTGCAGACTTGTGATCTACTGACCTATTTAGCCACTCATTAATCCCACATAGCTACTTTACTAACTGCTTATGTAATCCATGAGAATGAAACCAAACAGCAATATAGCCCCACTCTCCTTCATGTTTTGCAGTTGGTACACTCTGAGTGACACGGTGAGATTTTGTGTTTTTTTTTTTTTTTGTTTGGTTTCCGTTGCAGTATGTTGAGAGATGGGTTTGTTTGAGGTAAAAGTCAATATGAGTCAACAAAACAGAATGTTGTCCGTCCCGAAGTCTGCTAGCATCGTTGCTCAATGTGATGTCACTCACACAGCTCCTCAGCAATATTTCACTGTCATCTCCGGAGTCTCAAAAATGTCGTGTGAGACATAGAAGGCTTGCGCTAGCTTGTTACGTCACTTGCAACTCATCCTTTTGGGCACGTTGTCCAGACATCACGAAACGGTAAAATTTTTCGACATGTTTTAACCATAACTTTTTATTTTAAGTATATGCTGAACATTTTGTCGTGAATATTCTGCGTTTTGTCATCGGTTATATGGCATGACTCCTTCTTGTGACTGGGTCCAAGTCAGCCCTTAGATCATTTAGAAACTCGAAAGCTGCATAGACAACATATTGTAATAGTGTTTGTTTCTGGCATTTCAAATATGTTTACTTGAGCAGAAAAACAAAATTCTTTCTGTCGCTTATCATTTTGCCTGTGCCTTAGTGGTAAGTCTTCGCACCTGCCTGTTAGGCACAAAATTAGCCAATGCAGTTTACCTCTGGGTTGAGAAATCACGCTCCCCTCGCTAAATAATTTAAAATATATATATCATCCTCCTTCAATGCCGAATTGTCCTCACTACTGTAGGATTGGGAACGCTGTTTTATAAAGATTGAGACACATTCATTTTTTTGGGGCACTGCCCACTTGCCCTTTAATTGGAATTTTAGAAGGCGTTCGTGACTCTTTGCCATGGAGAAGCCTACTGAGTGCTTGGCCCTCAAACAATTTATTTCCATCTAAAAATGCCACAGGGCAAACTGAAACTTGATTTCTTTTGATTTACATGGTGTGTCCCTGAGACAACCGGCGTGCAAACGCATCAACAAACCCCGTCGGCGGACAACAAAAGGAAATGACACGGCTTTTAGAGAGCGGAGCCACAAAGGCGTAAACGTTCCACGATCGCAGCAGCTGAAGGGGCTCGTGTGAGGGCGACAGGACAGCTGGGTGTGGTGGTAGGAGGGGGGGGGTGAGGTTGGAGGTGGGGTTGACCCCCCACCCTCCCACACCCCGGACGCTTCACTGTGACAGCTGTTTTGGCAAAGGTGGCTCAATTGCAACCAAATATTTCCTGGTTCGTCTTCCCATTGTTCCCAAAATTAGCTGCTTAAGTGAAGTATGAAAAGTGCACGGAGGATTGGAGCTCTCCTGTCCCACATGCAAAGGCACTGCAGAATTATGAACCAAATTATAATTTTTTTTTCTCAGAATAAGATCCCACCTAATATGCGTCAGATTCAGCGTCATCGCATTGTCTTTCTATTTTAAATACAAATTATTTGTATATATTTTTTTATCTTCTGAAGGAAGCCACAACAGATAGTGGTTGATTTTTAATTTTTTTTTGGAAGCTCTAAAATGCAAAAATGGAAGCCATCCATCATTTGGGAGCCATGACTTCAAAGGAGAAGTCAACATTTTTTGCCTGGAGGTATGAGACACGCCCAGGTCATAGAATTAGGTTCTTTCTGTATGAGCAACACATGAATATTTATTTTATGATGTTACAATGATTAATTATATAGATATATTTTTAAGCATGAATGCAATTTAATGTTTTTGTAAATTGCAGTGGGGGGGAGAATTGTTTTTATATCTTAATTACTTTTTAAACACAGCACGACCCAATGAACGAAATCAGTTTGTAGTTAATCCCGCTTTTGGTGCCCAAAGGTTTGATTGGAATGACTTCCAACAATTTATCAGGTGATTTTATATTATTTATTCATTCATTCATTTCAACTTACATTTATAATTATATCTTGATTAAAACCCATTCATAAGAATACAAATTAGGAATAATAGTCTATTCCGAAGAGCATGTGATGAGGTGTGGTATTGTGATAAGGAATTGGACCTTGAGGATTCAGATGTGGTGGTAAATTAGGACATGATAAGAGGGTTGTGACACGCACACGTGCACGCACACACCCAAAAACCCACCGAGGGCTTAACCATGAGACTCCCATCCTCATTATTTCCCTCCATAACTTCAATTTGGTCTCAATTTTGTGGCCTTGGCTTGTCTCCTCTTCGCTCATCTCCTTCCTCAATGTCTTATTTCACTTGTCTCCTCCTAAATTTTGCCTCCTTCTCTCATCTAGTTGTCTATCTCATGTGTTTTCTCTTTTCGTTTTCTTGTGTCCCTCTCTCTTCTCCTCGCTGAATCTGGTCTCCTCCACTTTTTCTCCTTCTTCTTCCTTGTCTCCTTCACTCAGTTTTGTGTCCTTCACTCATTTTTTGCCTCCTTCTGCAGTCTTGTCTCTTTCACTGGTCTTCTTCTCACATTCAAGTGTCTCGTTCCTCTTTGGCTAGCCTCATACACTCAGTTTTGTCTCCTTCACTCATGTCCTTTACTCCTTAATGTGTCTCTTTGCCTCCTTTGGTTGCCTCATTCACTTATCGCCTTCATTCGATTTTATCTCTGTCACTCTTCACTCGTTTCATTGTCTCTTTGTCTGCTCCATGTGTCTCCTTCGGTTGGCTCCTGAACCCATCTCCTTCAATCTGTTTTCCCTCCTTCACTCTTTCTTACCTCCTTTACTCATCTCCTTGTCTTCTTAATGTGCCTACTTCCCTTGTCTCCTTCATGTGATTCCTTTCGCTTAGTTCCTTCAGTTGTCTCCTTAACTCATATTTGTCTGTCACTCATATGTACCCTCCTTAATGCAAATAGTTTACTTGTCTTCAATATGAGTCACTTCTGTTCTCATCTTATTCACTTAATTAAAATGTATTATTATTATTAATTTTGTCCGCTTCACTCATGCTTGCCTCCTTTACTCATCTCCTTGTCTCCTAAATGTGTCTCCTCCGTCTCTCTGCTTAATGTGATTCCTTCGCTTCCTTGTTTCCTTCACCAATCTTCTTTACACAATTTGTCTGTCACTCTTTCTTGCCACCTTCACTCATCTCCTTGTCTCCTGAATGTATTTCCTGTGCTTGTTTCCTCATCTCCTTCATGTCTCCTTCCCTTGTCTCCTAAATGTGTATTTAAGATGTATCCTTCACTACTTTACTTCACTCAGTCTTGTCTCCATTTTATTTGTGCCTTCTTCACTCATCTCCTTGTCTCCTTCACGCCCCTTCACATTTCTCCTTGTTTCCTTCGGTCGCCTCCTTCACTCATGTCCTTATCTCCTTCACCTGTTTCCGAATGTTTCTCTGTTGTGTCTCCTTTTCTCATGTCCTTGTATCCTTCCTCACTCTCTTCTTCTTCAGTCGTGTCTTCGTCACCTTCCTCGTCTCCTCCTCCTGCTCCTCCTCCATTTCCCTCATCGTCACGCCCCCTGTGAGTTTTTTTTTTTTTTGGACTGCAACTTGTTCCCGCTCTACTACGCACTTGATTTAGTTTGTAGCTGGGATACAGCGAGCATCGACGGACGACATGACTCTCCGGCAGCGAGGAGCGTTTTTCTATCTCTTTCTCTTTCTTTGCTCCCGGAATGGTGAGTTGAAACCAACTCTTGACGTCTTTGTGTGTTTGCGTGCGCGTCTGTGTAAATGTACTTTGATGTGCTGACTTTGAAAGGACGCAGTTTTGTGTTGTAACTTGTTGGCGGCAAGTCACCCCCAAGATGGCGTCCTTCATTTGAAAGATAATTCACGTGTATTTCCATGATATACGCACTTTGTACAACACACCTGTGTATATATTTAATAAGGTTTTAACACAGCAGAAAGTCATGCTTTTGGCAAATGCGTTGAAAGTGTGGTTAATTTACGCACTTGAGTGTCAATTAGCCTGCTAATACGCAGCTTGGACCATCATCATCTCGTCTTTTTTTTCAAACGTTGCCAATACCTTTGATGAATAATCACAAGACTATATATTATTTCGGTCCAAATTTACGGAGAGTTATGATGTAATTTACATTTCAAAAACCAGAAGCCATTCATTTATTGTTTTTTTTCATGTTTCTTGTGCAGAGCGTGCCTGTTAAGAAAATTTCGTTGCACGAATGTGTAATGACAATAAAGCAATCCAATCCAATCCAATCCAATTTACGAATGTGATTACATACATGGCAATTTTCCGCGGATCCGCGGAAATCCGCCGTTTTATTTCTTAAATTGATCATTTTTGTGAATCGTCTAAATCCGTTGAGAAAATTTTAGGGGCGGTC